AGCAAAATTTGCCCTTGCACTGCAAATTTGCAGTACAGGGCACTGTAAAGAGGTTTTGTGGCACCACAAGCCACACATGCCTGCATGTCTGGATGTGGCCATGGTCATCCTATGCTGAATACCTTCCTTTAGTATGTCAGTGCTCCCCCACCATACTCTGTTACACATGAAGGAATCAGTTGTTGGGTGGGTATGGCCTATGCCGGGGAGCAGCAACCTACGAAGACTGGGAGCTTTTGGTGGTGGGGAGCTTTGCCTGCACAGCAGCCTGGCAGTGGGAAGCAGCAGCAACAGCCAGGTCCTAGTGCTGGCCCAGCTTGCATCCAAGCTGGGTCATTCCAGCCCACCTCCAGAAAACATTGCTGACTCCTGGGCTATGATAAGTCTGTGTGTCTAAGTTTGAATGGTTGCCAACTTACTCAAATGAACAGTTAGGGATATTTATCGTGAGGAAGCCCTACACAGCACTAACAGAGCTCACTAAGCAGAATGTCATTGGTTATCTCAGAATTTCCGCAAAGACCCTGGAATCCCTCACGAAAATAGATGAGGAATCATTAATACACCCCCTGTCACTCCATGTTCAGTCAAGGGGGAATAAGATGCAAGCATCTGAACCCATCTACAAACTGTGAAAGAAGGTGAGGAGAGTGATAGAAGCTCTTTATTGAGTTTCAGCTGGAGATGAGGAAGGAGGACCTTGGAGCCAGAGTCTGCAAAAAGGACATAAAAGACTGCATGAATACTTGCTCCACAAAAGAAACGAATTAGAGCAAGACTAAAAGAACAAGCTACAATGTTTCAGTATAATCCATAGATCCACTGCAACCCACAGAAATCACCAAGAGTAACAGAAAATACCCAAGCAGCCACAAGCAGCTGGCATGCAGTGACTGAGTTTTCTGGCAACCTGGCCTCTGTCTTCTCCACTTTTATTAATCCTCCCTCCAACTGTGCCTTCTTCATTCCTGCCCTCAGGGCACAGCATGGTCTGTCCTCTGCTCTGCTGGTTTATCATTTGCACAGAATTGTGATGGGCTACATAGCCCAGAAGCCAGCTAAATACTGACACTGCCTTTTACATATTTAATTGTGACCACCTCTTTTCATTTGCTTGTATTACATATTTAATAAAATTAAATGTGGTTATGGTAAAAACATAAAATGTGTCTGTGTTTCTGAACTTGGAAACTATAATCATCAATTATTACTTGAACTGTGTTCCTGATTTCCATATTGCTGTCAGACTGAAAGCAGGCTCCTCCACACAGGGGTAACATCACAGATTGCATTGTTTAAAGCCCTATTTTCAATTCAGTGTAAAATGTCAGTTCTATATTGCTTTTTTATCCTATCCACAGCCAGATGTTTCTCTTAGCTTCTCATGCTAAAATAATGCTGAGAAGGAAGAGAAATAGATGAATTCTATTGCCTGTAGAGTGCATGAGCTCAGATCAGAGCGTTTCCTTCTGGCCTAAAAATCTCTCTGACTTTATGAGAGCACTTTTGTTCTAAAGGTATCTTCTCCATGGCCAAGTATTATTATTTTATTATTTTATCTTTATATTAGAGATCCTTGCTTGGAATCAGGACCCCATTGTGCAAGGCACTGTATAAAACACATTAAAGCCTCATTCATTTTCCCTACTAGGAAATGGGACTGTTTCAACAGGAGATTTTAAATGCGTTTGCTGCTAGGATATGGCTGATTGTAAAAGGCAGTGTGGAAGAAGGTGCAGAGACATTTGTGTGATAAATAGAGAGAAACAGAGAGAGAGGGAAGAATTATTGGTAGAACACAGGTGGTGTGAAGGGAGATGACATAATTAGACATTCAACATTCATATGTGTTTTTTTTCCGTAAGGTGCACTGTCTGTGTGTGCTGCCCACCACCTTGTTAACCACCAGGACCACAGAGCCTAATCATGATAACTAGTAAGTCAACCCAAATAAAAGGCACTGGGAGGTCACGAGGTATCAGCACGTAGTGGCCTTGCTCTTATTTTACAGTTGCCAGTCCAACCTCTCCCCTCGCTAGTGGGTGTGCTTCTAGGAACTGGCTGCATTCTTTTCAGACTAAAAGGATGTTGCAGTCCGTGCACTTCTCTGCTACAGAGCTCCAGGAAACACAGTGTCAGCCTGAGGCACAATGTCCCCTGGAAGTCCCGGGCTAGGGACAGACATTACACATAAACCAGTTTAAGTGATCAGAAACAGATTTAAACCTGTAACAGAATAGACATTCAGTGCACTGGCCCCTCCCCTCTGCTGTCTAGCTGGAGCAGGGGCAGGGTGTGGCCAGATTCTGGCCTGCCGTGGCCCCTGAGGCAAATTCCTACCTCTGTCCCATCTCCACCCCTCTCTGCTGGCAAACTCTAGGGACCACAGCTGGGGTTTGCCAGTCTCAGCCGCACCTCCACAGCTTGCCTGTAGCCAGGAAAGGATGGAGTTAATTCCTCCCTCTGTCCCCTCTCTCCCCAGGAGTCCCAGGGGGTTTGGCTGCAGTCTCTGTGGCTTGCCTGCAGCCAGGCAGGGATGCACCTGTGAGCCCAGAGCTAAGACCTGCAGGACCAGACTGAGAGGTGGGAAGTGTTAAGAAAGACCTGACAATCATCACACATGCTGGAGATGTAGTTAAGCGAATTTGCAGAATTTCACCAATGAATGTAGAGCTACATTTACATTAGAAAGCAGAAAGTGCAAAAGCTAGGAATACCTAAACAAAGCCTTTCTGAATGCCTGGCTGTAAGGAGACACACTTCCCTCAGGATTAGTCAGACTAATTCTTGTCTTCCTGGTTTACATTTTAAGTTAGACTAAGTTGTGTATGCTGTGTTTTACTGGGCTGCATCTTAGCTTAGGTGAAGATTTTTGGTAGTTCCCTGTTGTATGCTTTGTAAATTGCTGTGTTCAATACATGGTTGCTTCAGAGAAAGGACTTTTCCCCCATTCCCACTCCTTAGTCTGGCAGCAGCTCCCCACTCCCCCCATCCCCGGCTGGTGGCTGGTGGCTGGCATTCTGCGTGTTGTGCTAGCCCCGGCTGGTGCCTAGCCACATCCCTTTGGCTCCAGAGGGGTGTGGGGGTAGGGGTGAAAGCCCTGGAGGGTGTCTCTCTTCCCTGCCTTTTGGCAGTGCTTTACAGACATGCTCTAGTGCCCCCCAGCTTCTGGCTTGAACCACTGCAGGCATGTGGCTGCATGTCCTGATTTAACAGAGAATGTCTGACCAGTTATTTATCAGTTTAAACTGTGCAGCTTAGATTAACCTGCAAAGAGTGAATTAATTCAGGCTTAGGCTTTTTGAATGTCTGTCCCTAGCCCTGATGTGCGGTGTAGCTCTGCATCCTCATGCAGTTCTGTAAATTATATACAAACCAGTCCCAGGAAGGAGCAAGAGGTTGGTTGACGTACATTATTATGCATCCCTCCCTCAAAACTCCAGGGGAGGCTGTATATTCAGTAGTAGTAGTCTTACTGGAAGAAAACTGAAAATATCTGTAAATGATTAAAATGGGAAGAGAGAAACAGCCTTGAATATTCATTGTATATCATTACTGATTTATTTTTCCAGTGCTGCTCTTACTCATAGGACCAGATCTGACTCCCATGGACTTCAACAGCCAAAGTATTACATGCTGGGATTTAGCAATAATTATATTTGCATAAAATTAAAACTCTACATAGTTAGATTAAAGGAAACACTAGGTGTGGTTAATCTGATCTTTTCTGGTATGCTGTCAAATTTTCAAAGCCTTCCTACATATTTAATGAACCAATTCACATGGTGTTTAAAATGATTTGCTTTTTTTAAACAAACCTTTACAGGTATTACAAAATGGATATGATTCTTTAAGAATTACTGTAGTAATTTGACAGATTCCTGAAATTTTAAGAGCAGTCTAATTATTTTTTTAGATTTTAACACTATTTCAATCAGGCAGGTTTATACATTTCTTTGCAAGTGTGAGAAGCAGCATTTATCATTCGCATGTATTCAGAGTAATTTAAACTTAAATTATTTCATTGGGACACATTGCTCTGCTTAACAATAAGATAGATAGGGACAGATTTGATGTGCAAGAAATTAAGAGATAAACAATATAATATGGCAACAAGTCTTGAACAAATCTATGGTTCACCTGTTACTATTGCTTACCTCAAAACCTCCTTTACTTTGCAATAACATTCTTATTTAAGACTTATTTTTAATGTAATATTTTAATGAAAAACAGTTCATCATACAATCTTTATGGGTAAAAGTAGAAAATTGCTGCAGTTTGTCATAAAACAAAACTAAACACTATCCCTTTATTTACTAAGCTAGATGAGTTTTCTAAAACATAGGGATTTTTTAAATAGTTATATGGCTAGGATCCAGCAGGCAAACCTGTTTTACTGATAGGGTCTCTACTTATCCAGTGTTTCTGTCATCAGTCTGACCTTGCAGCTTTCTACAGTGCCATTATACCCTGGGTGCTGGCTTATTTTCATACAGCAGCCCCCAACTACTTGATCCCACTTCATCTACTTCACGGACACAGACATTTGTTGGGCTTATTAGCTCAGCAGGAGCCTTATCATATTTTGTATCTGAGGCTGTTGGAGATGTCAAGAGATGGAAATGCTGTGTAGCTTTTTATCCTCCCTTCTTGCACTTTCTCCGAGAGCCCAACAGTGCATTTGGATTCAATGCTCTCCTGCCACTAGCTGCTGAGATCTCTTTAAATATGTCTAGCTTTGCCATCTGTACCAATAACACTGCAAAGGCTTAGCCATGATTAGGCTGTCAAGATTTATTAAGTTAAAAAGTATCAAAGTTTCTTGCTGCAACCCCAGACCTTTTAAGAGTCCACCTTCTTTAGAATCCCTTCCCCCTCCCCACTATCACTATAGTCAATGTGTTTCGCTTGACCTTGACCAACATATGCACCCAGGGAACACTAATGAATTTGGGCCAATTCATCTTGGAACTCCAAATTTAATCAAGCTGACATGCCAGGGAAAGCAGGCTGTAATTAACTCCTAGCATTTTAGGTAATTTGTAAATTTCATAAACTTAGTCTGATCTGTTTTTGTATAATTAAGCATCTTTTGTTTGTTTTACAGACTACTGTGTTAAAATAATATAAGAACAGTAATTAAAAATAGCAATTTCAATGAAGGACTAAATCTTTTTTTTTTAAAGATAATTTCTCTAGGAAAATACAATGCAACCAAGCAACATGTATAGAGCAGTCCCGTATTACAGAATAGCAAAGATGAACACATCCAACTTTATTATTTCTTTAAAAAAAATGACTCATAACTGTTTGATGTAATGTGTCTCATGTAAATGTATGATGACCTGAATAAAAATAGTGATGTGCATGGTCCAGATTTCAGTGTGATTTGTTTTGGATAAATAAGAGATAGGAGCTCTTAAGGGAGCCTATTTAATATGATGATGATGATGATCTGGAAGCACTCAGAGGCACCAGTCAGGATCAAGGTGCCATGGTGCAAGGTGCTATATGAACACAGGATCTCTTGCCCTGAGGTAAAATTATTTATTCCTCCTCATTGTATGTGAATAGTGTGCATCCAGATGAACGCGGCTGTGACGCATGTGGCCCGACAAACATGTTTGCAGCACTTCATAGCACACAGTCCAGTGTTCTCTGGCCTGCAAGGGCACACTGCACTGCACTGTTATTTTGGATTTTGGATATCCAGGGGTCAGAAAAACCCATGG